ATCATACAAGCATTAAGATCCAGCTAGACCGTGTAAAGGCTTTGATTTCTATAGTTTGTGTTATCACATGTACGGTCCTATAATATATTATATTATAAAAAATAGTGTTGCTACACGCACGGTGACAGAGGTTCGAAAAAAATTCTAAAATGTAGTCTGAGAAACGAGGAAACCGAAAAGCTATATAACTTTCAACATCACGCCACTATTGTTTATTTAAAAAATGTTAAACAATTAGCGGTCACATCGACCACAGGTCACACGCATGGTGATAGAGGTTCGGAAAAAATTCTCAAATGTAGTCTGAGAAACCGAAAAGCTTGTAATTTTCAACATCACTTTCCCATTGTTAATCAAAAAATTGTTAAACAAATAGCGGTCAGATCGTTCAACTGCTTTGATTACCCAATGTTTCAAACAACATTCAAAGAATTCTTTCGGAACGTGTATCACCATGCACGTGGCCTGTGAACGATCTGACCGCTATTTGTTTAACAATTTTTTAATTAACAATGGGAACGTGATGTTGAAAATTATAAGCTTTTCGGTTTCCTCGTTTCTCAGACTACATTTTAGAATTTTTTTCGAACCTCTTGTTACCATGCGTGTAGCAATACTATTTTTTATGTTATTTATACATATATTTTATAACTTATTTTTATTGTTATTTTCAATATTTTTAACTAAATTTTTTCTCGTTTATCGCCGTGTAGTATGAGTTATTATTTTCAATGAATTTTTTATGGAAATACGTTCTAAATTCTGTTTTTTTATAATCGGGGTCCCCGCACCGCTATTCGTTACTGGCGTCTCACATGTGGCTAGAAGTGGCCGCTAGCTTCAGCGTCATCCAGTCGGCATGTCGTTGCGCGAATGATTGTTTTTTTTAACCATATTCCACCACTTCGATCGATTTAAAAAAATATATACATTAAAGTAGGGAGTCTACAGATTATTTTTCATGAAGTATAAAAGTGGTCACTGAAAAATATCACCAAAAAAAAAAATTCCTACGAAATACGATAATTATTTTAATGGTTTTGCCAATAAGAACGGAACAGCGAGACCAGTCACAACTCTGCAATCATTACTCTGTTTTCCTTTCTGCGATTGTGATTGGTCTCGCTGTTCCGTTTCGCTGTAGATTTCCATGGGACACCGATCTTATGCAAGTCTATGCTGTGACCTTTAAAAGTCTTTCTTCATTAAGGGCCGATTGTTCTATCTTTTGGTAAATTTTATTTGTTAAGACGTAATCACAGTACAGGTTACGGTTAATGTCTCTATTATCGCCAATCAGGTTGCGGCTAACCCGCACTCGTTGCATCATGGCTAAAATAGAACCGACAACTGTAACCGGCAACCTGTAGTGTGATTATGCTTTTAGGTAAATCCTGCAATC